CGCCCACGCCCACGCCCACGCCCACGCCCACGCCCACGCCCACGCCCGCACCCACTCATACCATCACCCATACCCACACCCTTTGTTCTAACCCACACCCACATTCACATTCAACGTACACCCACACCCACATCTACCTTCCACCCACACCCCACACCCACATACTCTCTATATTCTCATGGCCCGTCTCTAAAACACATAGAATCGCTCTCGCACTGTCTATCGTTCCCATAATGATGCAAGACAAATCACGACTTCACATCGTGAGAGATTCGCAGGAAGTGAACTAATCGGCATTACTAGGGACGCGTGGTTTTTTCCAACAAACTTGATTCCTTTTCTATGACTCATTTAGAATGTTCGAGCGAATAAATACGTGTACATTTTTTGCTACTGTTTTAAAATTATATTTCTATAGGTTAAAATTCATTTTTCATCTTCATAATCATTGACATCAATTAAAATGTGTCATCATCAAATCTTTGTTGCCTTGGTCTCTTCATAGCTCTCGTCTTTGGATGGTTATGTATTTGCGCGGTAGCTCTATTGTAAGTTGTACTCTTTCAATCGTGCTTACGGAATAACCTTCCTCTTCGTTTTCGATTCTAGTTGGAAAACGATTCCTGCCAATATATGTTCTGAAAATAAATTGCTGAATATAGTGTCGTGTATCAAATTATCAATAAACGAAAGTATCGTCAATATCAGTTTTGGTCTGTTTACTATAGGCACTGCTTTTCTGTAATTGATTTTTTTCGAGAATATTGTGAAAAATACTTACGTTCTCTTCTAGTTTGCTGTTATTTCGAACGTGTTGAAAATGTGCATGTGTGTTCATATTGATTGGCCTTCTACTCGGGACAACTGTCATTTTATTCTTGATGGCTCCTATTGAACTACTAACATTTTTACGACTCAACTATTGAGCTTTATGGGGCTGTGGTGTCCGTATTTTGCTCATGATTTTCTTAGCTTGAGGGTGTGGGTGTGTGGGTGTGGGTGTGTGGATGTGGGTGTGAGTGTGGATGTGGGTGTGAGTGTGGATGTGGGTGTGGGTATGAGTGTGGGTGTGGGGTGTGGGTACGAGTGTGGGTGTGGGTGTGGGTGGGGATGAGGGTGTGTGGTGGGATGTGGGTGTGGGTGTGGGTGTGAGTGTGGGCGGGCGTGGGCGTGGGCGTGGGCGTGGGCTTTGGTGTCGGTGTGGGTGTGAGTGTGGTGTGAGTATGTGATGTGAGTATGGGTGGGTTTGGATACTGCTATGTGAACATGGAATGGAAGAATCCCCACACCCACACCCTATTCACATTCTACAACCACACCCACACTCCACAACCGCACGCACCCACACCTGCAAAAGAATCGTCAATCTATCTTATCAACCTCGAATATTGCACTGTGTGAAGACCTGGGGATCGCCTGTCAATGGGTGTCCAAGTTGCTCGAGTTCTTCGTGAGATTTGAGAGATGAGGTCCATTGACCATGAGAAAAGGGAGGATGATCTGATTGGTTCCCGCAAACCTCAACGTTGACCAAACTGGATTTCGTCGACAATCGAATGGAACGCGAAGAGAGTGCGGATGTTCAACATTGAATTGGAAGCATTCGTCATGTTTACAAGATCGAAGTCGAAATATTCGTGAGATAAGAATAAACTGCCCCTTCACCGACGTCTAAAGAAGAAAAGAGGAGCAGCCAATTCTTTTTTCTTTCCTTTCTTGAAAGATGTGTAGGCCTGATCTAATCTTTCTTCTATTTGAGTCAACAAAGGTGTGCAAGAGAAAATTGTGTCTTATCTTCATCAAACACTCATCCGTAGTGTAGACCTTTTTTCGATTTATCGGGTAAGCACTATTCGATTTTCTTGTCTGTCAAAGCATAGCTGAGCGGTTCAGTTGTCTCCAGAGTTGCCACCTCTTCTGCTTTTAGCAGAAAAATTCTGCTTTTTGAAAGTTTTTCTGCTTTTTTTCTGCCCTTTCTGCTTTTTGGATTTTTTTCTGCTTTTTAAAAACGTCTTTCTTGTTATAATTTATATCGACGATCCTGGATTCTGGTAAGTGATTACACTAAAAATGTGAGAAATATTGCTATCTCCATTTGCTAATGTCTCTTCTAACTATGAGCCTTCGTTCTTGAAACAAAGCCTACTTTCTGCTCGTTACAAAAAAGCGCAAATCTTATTGTCATGGTCCGTCTTGACTCCTTTTTTAATCTACCTTTTCCTTTCCTTCTAGAGTTCGAACTATGACTATCAAGATCACGTGTCGTGCAACAGTTTGTAGCATTGAAATAATGCATGTACACCTTGAGTACACCTTTTTTCTCGATTAATCAATCCATTAAATTACTTTTTAACAAATAATTCAATGAGCCTAGCAATAACTGAGATATTCAAAATGATAAAATCTCAATTTCCAACATCAGATAGTGCTATAATCTTTTTATTCACAGCTAAGCGTAACGAGTAATAGTGCTATCCAGGATATTAAGCTTTCTATTATATAAGAAGTCATATTTCATCTGCATCTCAGTTCGCGATTCTGTTTAATATTCCAAACACACAAGGAGATAGGCAGAAAGAATACAAATACCTAGCGCTTCGTGACAGAATATAATTTAATCTGAGACAAAAGGAACAAATTTTAATCGATTCGATTTTTAAAAAAATGTTCATAGCTGACTTGAATTTATCTTCGTATAAAAATGGATCAGCTTTTCTACGTATCTAGAACCAAATGAATTGAATTCTACTAATGACGTCATCAATAATGAGATGTTTCCAAAAAAAATAAACATGTGAAGGAGTTTGATTTGCATTATCGCTCATCATTATGTAGAAAAGATCTGAATTCTTTCTTTAATATATAAGAATAACCAATAATCTTACAATCTAAAGCCGAACTTCAGATCTAGTTATGAAAAGTATTTTCAACAGTTTTTATAGCTGATTAACTCTATTTTCAAACTCAGTGTCATCAGTCGCTTGGTAGACGGAAAAATAGATATAAACTGATGTTAAATTATACGAACGTGGCGAATATCGATCAATGACTTACTGGAAACTATCAATTCAGACGAAAATGTACATTGAAAGAAAATGTGCCACTAAATTGTATTTATCTGTTAAATAGTTTTTACCCGAGTTCACATGAGAAAGATTCAATCCTGGTGAGGAACATGCTTCTCGTGACAGTGAGAAAATGCTTGAGATATAGTTTGGCATGAAAACAATGCTTTCTGCTTTGTTCTGCTTTTTCAGTTTGAATTTTCTGTCATTTTCTGTTTTTTCTGAGGCATTTTCTGCTTTTTGAACATTACAAGGTGGCAACTCTGGTTGTCTCTCCTCAGTGACTCTTCTGGAGCAAATCCCATTGACCATAAATCGTGTGATTCGAATTTCAGAATTGCGAAGTTTCATTTGATTTGTGTGCCGAGATGGATAGTAGATATGCATCTAATGGATATTTTGTGAATTTCATCGCGCTCGATTGTGGTTCTTTTTCTGAGAATTTTGCTGCTTTTTCAGCTGTCGAAATAATGCATGTGACTTGTTAACATCGATTAAAGAGCTGTTTCATTTAGTTTAAACGGAGTGATCACAAACCATCGAAATAATTTCGATCGATCTTCTAAACGAATTGACGTTCTTCGACGCAGCAGAAATCGCTACGAGTACAAACTCTTTTCATATCTCATCTTGACTTGAACAATGTCTTCAGACACGACACATCGAGTTTTGCCTATAAAAGGGGCATTTCTCAAATTGATGCAGCCTGAACATTTGGAGCAACTGTACGAATTGTTTGAGTTGAATCGAGATTATCTTCGTGAAAACATCTCAGGCATTGATTCGATTCAAACTCGAGAAGATCTTCAACAAAGATGGATAACATCAAAGAGAAATTCTCTGCAATTCGGACTCTGGCTGGATGAAGAACTGGTCGGTCGATGCTGTTTGATACCAGATGAGAATTCGTCTTGTGCCGAGATTGGCTATTGGCTCTCGAAATCTCATCAAGGTCACGGATTGATGACCGCGGCAGTGAAAGATTTGCTTCAATTTGCTTTCGAAGTCTGGAATGTGCAACGAGTGGAAATTCACTGCGGTGTCAACAATCTCAAGTCTCGAGCCATTCCAGAAAGACTCGGATTTGTCAATGAAGGGGTATCAACGAATGGTCCCGCTATTCAACTCAATGGACAGATGGTTCTATCCATTGTTTATTCTCGATGTAATCCAGCTCAACAAT